TTTGAGTCACGTAGAATGGGAAAAGTGAAGAGAGAAAGAAATACAATGATGGTTGACATATGGAGATGGAGAGTTAGGGTCTGAGCCTTGCCTGTTAAGAGCTATTTGACCTGAGCAAGTTATTTAGCCTGAAAACAGTCATGTGAAGTATAAAATTGGGATGGGGGTGGGGTTCAATATCATAAAACTGAGAGCGCATTATGTAACTGGTGGATAGGTGATGTCCATTAAATTTAATTTTTTGTGTTATTCACTTTAGACAGATTTATGATTGACACTTGATTTTATTACAACACAATTTCAAAGTGTATTATAATTGCCATGACACTTAGTTCTTTATTATTATCTTTAAATAAGGGGTAATGATCAGCATGATTAAATTAATTAGTGCGTGTAAGACATGTTGATAAAACTGAGAATCTGGTCGGTTCCACCCATATCTATTCTCACTTTCTTCATTTGTCAGTATAAATGGTAGGGTCAAGCAAACTTACAAGGGAGGCATAAGAGAATTGGTATCTGAGAGTTTAGAAAGATACTTTCCCCATTCTATATGCCTCAAAAATCAATAGCAAAAGCAATGAACAGTTCTCAGATGCTGTGTTATATCAACCACTTCACTGAGATCTATACATGCACTATCTGAGGAGAAAATGATTTTGCCCTAAAGACAGAAGTTGGTGGGTTTTTAGTTTTAGGTCCATCAAAGAGAATGAGAGAGAGAAAGAGAGAGAGAGAGAGAGAGAGAGAGAGAGAGAGAGAGAAAGAGAGAGAAATCAGTCCTAGGCCTCACCCATAGATTCTGATTTAATAAGTCATGGGTGAGGATTAGATATCACACATGTGTTTTATGACACTCCAGAAGTTTGCACATGGCTCCTCAGCTGCTTCATCTACATGGTCAGGCTGAGAACGATTTCTCTAGAGGGCAGCAAAGTCTTGACCACTGCTGACCACATAGCTTATCTAATCTTTCCCCCTGACAGCTCCAGTCCTCCTGAATTTTAGTCTTCTGATTATGTGTTCTTACTGTGAGAACTGGAGCTCTTGTCCTAATACTACCCTTCCTTGGCACACTGGAGTGAGCACTTCTAGAGCCTGTGCCAAAGACACGGGGCAGAGGAGAGTCTGTTCAGTGTCTCCCAATCCTTTGCTTCCTTCATCAGGCAGAATGAGGTGCCACTCTGGAGAGCTTTGTGGCTTCTGAGACAGAAACAGACTTGACTTTAGGCAGCGACTTCTTTATGGCAAAGGTATGTTTCTATGTCTTCTATTCTCAGCCTTACGGAAGAATTTTGTAATAATGTTTTCATTTTGTCAACTGAGGCAAAGCAACTTAAATATGTGTTCTAGATCCAGTTCATAATGGTGGAGCTGTCCTTCTATGTGAAGAATCTGATTCAAGGAGCTTGGCTCTCAAATGTCTTCTAGGAGGGATTTGAACTAGGTCCTAGCTTCCTAGGTCCACTGAAGCAGAATATTTAGGTTGTGTTTGTTTGCATTTATATGGGCTCTTCAGTGGATCCCAATAATCATTGGTGTTGGAAAATAGAACACGCAGCTTTCTGCCTGCCACACTGATTTGGAACCTGTGAATCTGCAGAGTGTTTTTAATTTCTATCCCCATCCTCCCTGCCTTGGCAATATTTAAAATGTTTATTTCAGGGGAGCTGATAAAAAACATATAGCTCCATAAAAACTCTGGAGAGTTTTGTGATTTCTGAGACAGACACAGCCTTGACTTTGGGCAGTGATGCTCTACAGCATGAGCATGTTTGTGTGCTTCTCATCCTTGGCCTTACAGGAGACTCTATTAATATCATTGTTCACAATTTTTGGATGAGGGGAGGCAGCTCAAATATGTGTTCTGGACCAAGTGTACAGTGATAAAGCTGTCCTTGAATGCAAATAATTTGATTCCCAATTCTGGGCTCTCAAATGTCTTCTAGGAGGTATTTAAACATGACTCCTGGCTCCACCCTGGCTACTGAATCAGAATATCTGATTGTGGCTCAATTATTGGCAGGTTTCTTCTGAATGTTTTCAAAAATATTGAAATATTTTATTAACTCTTTGATTACTTCATATATGCATACAATGTATATTGGTCATATTTATCCCATATGCCTCCCTTTAGTTCCTCTCAGATCAAACCTCTGTCACATCCAGACTTTTGTTCTTTCTGCTTCCCTCTCCGTGTCTGTCTCTGCCTCTCCACCCCCTCCATCTCCACCCTGTTCTTAAATTACCTACTGAGACCAAGTTGAGCTTCTTTATACTCATGGGTGTGGGGCCATCCACCCAGGCATGGTTGACACACCAAGGAACACACCCTTAAAAGTCCTATTTGTGGCAGAACACCTCAAAGACACTTTTTCTCTGCACTTTGGTTGGTTGTGAGTTTCTGCATTAAACACTGTCCACTACATGAAGAAACTTTTCTGACCGAGTCTGGGAGCTGCAATAATCTATGAGCATAGAGATGATATGAACAGAGAGGGTAGTTTGATATTATGTTCATTCAGCAAAATAATAATAGGCTATTCACTCCTGGTGCTTCTGAACTACCAAACCATGGGTTTGTCATCAAATGTATAGTTTCAGGCTGTTTCCACCTATGGGGCAAGCTATAAACCCAATCAGCGACTGGCTACCTCCATGTCAGTATTTATGCTAGTATTTCATCAAGGACATTTCCCCCACACCAGTTGTTATTATAGCTCACAGCATCACAGCTGGTTCCTGTGGTTAATGTGTCTAATATCAAAGAAGAAAAGGGAATAATGAACAAAGGGATTTAAGTGGAGAGAAAGAAGAGTGAGGACGGCAAGAAGGGTGATAACTAATACTAAAGATGCTGGGAAAAGCCTACGGACACCTACAAGCTTCATATAATTTGTATATTCACAGAAAAACATTTAACTGTAATATCCCTACACAGAGAATAATGCTTCTCCCAAAAGCCATAGCTTGTCAAATAGAATGCCAGTGCCACATGAGGCTACATACACAGCATGGTGACAAATTATCCAGTTATTTAAAAGCAGAAACCCCTCCCCCAACCTTTATAAGATTGTACATAGGACAAATATAATGAACAGGTATGACATTCAGTCAATAGTCCTGGGCTTCATATATACTATTAAATTTCAAGCCCCTCTTCATTGTTAATTATACTATTAAGGAACAGCCTTGAATATTCTTTTCAGGAAATTTTTGCCCAAGAATGTGAAATCATTTTTACACATTCTTATCTATTTTACTTTTATTGATTCTTTGTGGATTTCACATTATACATTTCTACTTTTCTCTCTGTCCCTCCAAATCTACCCTCTGCTGTTGCAACATTCCCTCCCCCCAAAAAACTAAACCAAATTAAAGAAACAAACAAACAAACAAAACAAAAACAAAAAAAGAAAAGAAAAGAATCCTGTTGCGAAGCTGTAATGTGGCCCATGGAGACACACAGTTTACCCTTTAGTCCATTCACCTTTACTTGAAAAGTGGTCTGGCTGAAGACCTCTGACTTCTGCTACACCACCCCACCGATAATGGGCTCTCACTGCGGCTCCTCTTGGATATCCTGCTGTTGTATTGTGGAGAGCCTGCTGTTTAGGGTCTGTAGGTTTGTCACCTTCCCCTGCTCCAACAGTTCACAGATTTGGTGGATATTGGGGTGGGCCAGCCCTGGTTCTAGGTCTGGGTGGTAGCTGGGTTGGTCAACTCCTAGATTTCCCTCCTTGTAACTACCTGGATTAACCCAACGAAATGTTTTTATGGCCCAATAAACCTATCCGCTAACACAATAATCCAATCAGACCAAAACAAACTGAATTAGAAAAAGCCCGGGTTTAATGGATGCCAGTGTTCCAGGGTGACCAGGGAAGGGAGAAGAGGAGAAAGGAAGGCTGGAAAACCACGTGTTTGGTCTCTGGGAGGCAGTTTTAAGAGCCTGTGGGAGTGGTCTTGAGCTTCTCTCGGGAGGGGTTATCTTTTTGCGGGCTTTCTCAGAGGTGGAGTCTGGACTGAGGCAACTCCCAGAGGAGGGGACTTGGGGTGGAACTTTCCACACAAACATTGGAGGTGGAGTCTGGACTGAGGCAACTCCCAGGGGAGGGGCCTGGGATGGAACTTTCCATCCAAACATCAGCACTACCTTGGCTAGCTCATCTCAAGCAGCCTACAGCAAGGAGTGGGGCCTAGTCTCTTGTTCTTGGGCCCTCCGATCCAGGTTCCCCTCATTATATAGCCAGCGTCAGTTCTACTGGTTTGCCAAGGCAAGGTACAGAGCCCTCTGTCCTGATTGTTCCATGGGGCATATGGGGAGGCAGGGAGATCAGCTCTCTGCTTTCACACCTTCAGGATTGGCTCACCTGTGTCCCTAACCGCAGGGTCAGTTCTAGTGTGTTGCCCGGGAGAGGTGCGTGTCTATGTTGAGTGGTGGGGCTATATTTCCTGAGTTTAGGGATTAGCTCTCCCCCAAGGGTAAGGCCAGCTCACCCATTGCACTGTCCAGCCAGGGGCAGGACCGGTAATCCCAGAGCCAGGGATGGGCGGGACTGGCTCAGCACAGCATGGTTCCAATGACCCAGGTGCTAACACTGGCCACTGACATCACCACAGACCCCAGCTGCAACTGCAGCAGAATCACAGACCCAGACATGGCCTTCGGCAGTAGTCCTGGCTCAGACAACACAATGGCCCTGGATGACAGTGCATGCCACTCAGGTCAAACTGTCCCTGGCAGCAGCATGCCCCTCCCACCCCGACCCTAGCACCAACATAGTCACAGCTTACGACCTAGACCCAGGACATCTGTGTGGCCTTCGGCGGCAACATGAGCCATAGACGTCAATAGAGACCCTGGCTGTGGTAGGACCGCGAACCCAGTGATGGTCTTAGACAGCAGCCTGGCCTGAATGTCACCATGGTCCCAGGTGACAGCACAGGCTATCCGGATCAGCATGGCTCCTGCAGCAACACGGTTTTCGGATACCAACATGGCTCCAGGTGCAGCCCAGACCCTCGGCATCAGCATGGTCTTTGATGGTCTCAGGAGCCACAGACCCTGGGTGAGGCAGGGTCACAGACCCAGACATGGTCCTCAGTAACAGCCCAGATCAGGTTGTCACCAGAGACCCAGGTAGCTGGCTATTCAGGCCACTAGATTGGCATGACTCCCACCCGTGGCAGTGTAGCCCTTGGACACCGAAGTGGCCCCTCCACTGGCTCCTGCATGGCCCCAGCGATGTCAGGAGCCAAAGACATCAACTCAGGCTCCCTTGGCGGCTCCAGGGCCCCGGATCAAGACCTGGCCTTTGGTTAAAGCCCAGGCACAGACATCTCCCTGGACTCATGCAGCCAGCTGGCCATTCATGTCAGCCCGTTCCTCACCACCTTCACGTCTTGCATCCGTCTCTCTCCCCAGCCCACAAACCATTCTGCCTCTCCCTCTCTTCTACATTCCCACCCTGTACTCCCTTACCACAATGGTGCCCAAGCCCTAGCACCAGGGCTCTTGGTTGGGTCACAGGGGGCACTAGGTTGAATACTACCCACTGCACCAATAAAAGATGGCACAGAGTGGTTGCCTTTCATCTCTCCTCTGATTCCAGGCGAGATCCTGTGTGACTGTGGCCCCGCAGACCTGTAAGTCTGGGGAGGGGGCGACATCTGTGTTGGTCACAGATTCAGGCCCTTGTTGAGCCTGCGACTCCTGGTGGATTGTGGACATTTTTTAAATATAAATTGCAACATTTCTTTTTATATAAGCAGGAATAAATGTTTGGAAAAATGTACATAATCATAAATTACTTAACAACTGAATTTGTCACATTTTAATTTTTCTGAAAAAATAGTATTTTGATTTTAAAAAGGATTTTAAAGTCAGCATTTTCAAAGATTAAATGGTCTTTTAGACCATCATTTGTCAATTCATAAAAGAATAAGATTGACCCTCCCACCAGAAAACATTTATCTGCCTGTAGTGTTGGTTGTCAGACTAGAGATGGTGGTTACTTGCTACCAGTGTCTGGCAGGTAGATGTCAATGCTCTGAACGTACTACTGTGCTCTATGCAGTAGCTACTCATCCAACCTCACTAGAGAATTATCTGGTCCCAATGTCAATAGTAGTGCTTCTGCAGAATTCTGTCTTCTGCTGTTGTTTCTTACACTTCATTGTGATAGGAATCATGTGTTGATTTGGGTCAAATAAGGACTTAGAGCTGATAGGTCTGTTGTAGGACATCAGCTTCTGCTTTTCCAATAAAGCCATGGGTTTTTTTTTAAATACCAGAATGATTATCTTACTTTGAGTATCAGTGTTCTAGAATATCAGATGGGTTTGACTAGAGAGAGGCCAATGAGAGGCCCAGAAATCACTTGCATATGACATAGATATACCACTTCTTGGCATATGCCCAAAGGACAGCATACCCTACTCCACAGGTACTTGCTCAACACTGTTCATAGGCAGTCTTAGCTAGAAAATGGAAACAGCTGAAATGTCCTTTAGCAGAGGAATAATGAACATATGGTACACATATACATTATAGAATAGTATTCAACTGAAAAGAAAAATGAAATTATGAAATTTTCAGAATAATGGGTATACTTAGACAATATTATATTGAATGAGGTAACCCAGACCCAGAAAAATAGACATCGAATGTTCTCTTCTCTTATCTTCAATTCCTAGCTCCAACATTTCTGATGTTAGTATATAACTCATGGTAACTACAGAAATCACAAGAGTATAAAGGGACCATGGTGGAGGGTTATTGAGAGGGGAAAAGCAGGATTTAGGTAATAAGAAAGAATAAGTGGAGAAACAGCCTGGGACCCTAACTGGGGAGAAGAAGGGGGTGCGGTACAGAAAAAGGAGGGAGAATGGACAAATAATACCAAGATAGTTTGATAAAGTCTCAAGGAATCATATTTTATATTTACCTAAAATTCTACAGTAAATATAAATGTATCTGTATACAATGCACACACACACACACATACATATGCATGTATGTGTACCAAACACCAGAACAATCTAGCCTATTGCTGTTGCCCTTGGTTGCCTCTTAGAGGTTTAAGATAAGCGTCTATTACTGAAGACATCATACACTTAGGACAGATGACTTGGTTGGTTCAAGCTGGGTCTAACCCTGAAAGTCTTACTGTAGTCTAGTTTCCATAGAGCCAGAAAGTACTCTTTGCAAGTTGCCAAGGGAGGAGATTAATTGTAGTCCTACCCAGCTGTGACGCCTATGAACCACAACAATGACCGGCATGGCAAGATACCCAGAAAGCTGTAATAGTGACGCTCACACATGGTGGTAAGCAACAGCTGTCTAAGTGGATTTTAAGGCCCACTCAACAGAACAGAAATTGTACCTGGTACTAGAAAAATAGAAGCTTCCCAGGACTAGTGAGGTTGTGAGTCTTAGAAGAGAATCTACTACCACCACTCTGCTAGACTAGCAAAATTACTTAATGTTTTCTAAATCTTGACCTTCAAACCATAGATAAGTGTAGTTACCACTTCTCACCAAAGACTCTTCTTTTTACAACAAATGAAGACAGTTACAGAAAACCACAAGTGGCTACAAACAGTGGATTGTGGAGTACCCACCTCCAGTGTTTACATCTGCAACACAGCTCCTACAACCATGGCTTAGGGAACTTGGCAGAAGAGGGTGGAAAGAACCAGAATAACAGGGAGTTTGCTGTGTGACTGCCTTTTTTCTAAAGGGCAGCATAAACAAGACTGAGTAATTAAAATATCAATAGATATGCCGATGAGCTATGGATGAACGATGGACAAAATCCCTTGGCTCCTACCCTTAGAGAACTATAGGGAAATTCTACATTGTCTTGAGATCTGGACAATTCATTTAAATTCTCTGAATCTGTGCCTCATTTTAAAATGGTAATCCTTCTTCATTCATGCTTGGGTTTCAAAAATTAGGCGTGTGAAATAGTTGGCTTGGTACCTAATATATGGTGTTTAGTGACTGGAAATTTTAATTCTTATAGATGTTATTGCTATTATAGTGAGATCTATTGTAAATCCATGGCCAAAACAAGATCGACTTCTGTATGGAGATGAGAGATTCCAGAAATGCTATTCCTACCTGCTGTTTATTCTTATTTCTGTAGATCCCAGGGGATTTCCAAGGTCATGCCCTCCCAGGATCTTTCTTGATCTTTTTGAGTCTTTGGTGGAATTCAGTGAATATTCTGAAGTATATCTGCAAAAAACATAAACAGATTTACCTTCAATCTAAAGCATGGATCAATCGAGCAGAACTTTTGGATGGAATTATACTAACTGGCATGGTTTTAGTTGGTGAGTGCTTTTAACTTCAGAGTTCTGTTTTCTTTTTGTGTGCATATTTCCATATGTATAAATAAGATTTAATAGAAAATAAAGTACTAAAGATAATTTTGTTTGCAAAGTACCCCTTTGTATATATTCAAATTATAATTTTAATCTTAAATACTTTATTAAAAAGGTGATTGGTTTTTTATTTTATTATTCTTTATTTTTTATTGTTTTTATTGAGCTGTATATTTTTCTCCACTCCCCTTCTACCCTCTCCTATGGTTCCCATGCTCCCAATTTACTCGGGAGATCTTGTCTTTTTCTACTTCCCATGTACATTAGATCCATGTATGTCTCTCTTAGGGTCCTCATTATTGTCTAGTTTCTCTGGAATTGTGAATTATAGGCTTTTTTTCTTTATGTTTAAAAACCACTTATAAGTGAGTACATATAATAATTGTCTTTCTGGGTCTGGGTTACTTTACTCAATATGATGTTTTTTAGATCCACCTATTTGCCTGCAAATCTCAAGATGTCATTATTTTTTTCTGCTGTATAGTACTCCATTGTGTAAATGTACTACATTTTCCTTATTCATTATTCAGTCAAGGGGCATTTAGGTTGTTTCCACTTTCTGGCTATGACAAACAATGCTGTAATGAACATAGTTGAGCACATGTCTTTGTAGTATGATTGAGCATCCTTTGGATATATACCCAAAAGTGGAATTTCTGGATCTTGAGGTAGGTTGTTTCCTAATTTTCTGAGAAATCACCATACTGAAATCCAAAGCAGCTGTACAAATTTCCACTCTCACTAGCAATGGAGGAGTGATTTCCTTTACCCCACTTCCTCTCCAGCATAAGTTGTCATCAGTGTTTTTGATCGTGGCCATACTTACTGGTGGAAGATGGAATCTCAGAGATGTTTTGATTTGCATTTCTCGGATGGCTAAGGATGTTGAGAATTTCCTTCAAGTGTCTTTCAGCCATTTTAGATTCTTCTGTTGAGAGTTCTCTGTTTAGAGCTGTACCCCATTTTTATTGGATTATTTGTTCTTTCAATGACCATTTTCTTGAGTTCTTTTTATATTTTGGAGATCAGCCCTCTGTCCAATGTCGTGAAGATCTTTTCCCATTCTGTAAGCTGCTGTTTTGTCTTATTGACTATGTCCTTTGCTTTACAGAAGCTTTTAAGTTTCAGGAGGTTCTATTTATTATTTATTGCTCTCAGTATCTGTGCTACTAGGGTTAAATTTAGGAAGTGGTCTCCTGTGCCAATGTGTTCAAGTGTACTTCCTACTTTCTCTTCTATGAGGTTCAGTGTGGTTGGTTTTATGTTGAGGTCTTTGATCCATTTGGAGTTGAGTTTTGTGCATGGTGATAGATATGGGTCTATTTTCATTCTTCTACATGTTGATATCCAGTTATGCCAGCACCATTTGTTGAATATGCTTTCTTTTTCCAGTTTTATATTTATTGCTTTTTTATCAAAAATCAGGCATTTGTAGGTGTGTGGATTGCTATCTGGGTCTTCGATTCAGTTCCATTGGTCTTCCTGTCTGTTCAATACCAGACAATACCAGGCTGTTTTCAGGACTGTAGCTCTGTAGTAGAGTTTGAAGGCACAGATTGTAATGCCTCCAGAAGTTTCTTTATAGTACAGGATTGTTTTGACTATCCTGGTTTTTTTGCTTTTCCATGTGAAGTTGAGTATTGTTCTCTTGAGATCTGTGAAGGATTTTATTTGGATTTTGATGGGCATTGCGCTGAATCTATAGATTGCTTTTGGTAAGATTGCCATTTTTACTATGTTAATTCTACCTACCCAAGAGCATGGGAGATCTTTCCACTTTCTGGTGTCTTCTTCAATTTCTTTCTTCAAAGATTTAAAGTTCTTGTCATACAAGTCTTCCACTTATTTGGTTAGAGTTATTCCAAGACATTTTATGTTATTTATGGCTATTGTGAAGGATAATGCTTCTCTGATTTCTATCTCAGCCCATTTACCATCTGTGTAAAGAAGGGCTACAGATTTTTCTTGAATTAATCTTGCATCGTGCTGTTTATGAGTTGTATAAGTTTCTTGGTAGAATTTTGGGGGACGGTAATGTAAACTATCATATCATCAGCAAATAGTGAGAGTTTGACTTTTATTTTCCAATTTGTCTCCCCTTGATCTCCTTTTGTTGTCTTGCTGCTCTAGATAGGACCTCAAGTACTATACTAAATAGATATGGAGAAAAAAGACAACCTTGTCTTGTTTCTGATTTTTTTCTCCATTTAGTTTTATGTTGGCTGTTGGCTTGCTGTATATTGCCTTTTATTATGTTTAGGCATGTTCCTTGTATCCCTGCTCTTTCCAAGACCTTTATCATGAAGGAATGTTGTATTTTGTCACAGGCTTTTTCAGCATTTAATGAGATGATCATGTGTGTTATTTCTTTCAGTTTGTTTATATGGTGGATTATGTTGACATATTTTTGTATGTTGAACCATCTCTGCATCTCTGGGATGAAGTGGACTTGATCATCGTAGATGATTTTTCTGATGTGTTCTTGGATTTGCCAGTTTTGTATTAAGAATTTTTGCATCAATGTTCGTGAGGAAAGTTGGTCTATAATTCTCTTTCTTAGTAATGTTTTTGTATGGCTTAGGTATCAGGGTAATTGTTGCTTCATAGAAAGAGTTTGGCAATATTCCTTCTGTTTCTGTTGTGTGGAACAATTTGAGCAGTATTGGTATTATTTCTTTGAAATCTTGTAGAATTCTGACCTGAAACTATCTGGTCCTGGGCTTTTTTGGGTTGGGAGACTTTTGATGACTGTATCTATTTCTTTAGCAGTTATAGGTCTATTTAATTTACTTCTCTGGTCTTGATTTAATTTTGGTAAGTGACATTTATCCAGAAAAATATCCATTTCCTTTAAGTTTTCCAGTTTTGTGGAGTACAGGTTTTCGAAATATAAACTAATGATTTTCTGGATTTCCTCCACGTCTTTTATGTCCCCCTTTTTGTTTCTGATCTTGTTTATTTGGATAGTCTCTCTGCCTTTTGGTTGGTTTGGATAAAGTTTTGTCTATTTTGTTGATTTTCTCAAAGAACCAACTCTTTGTCTCTTTGATTCTTTGTATTCTTTTCTTTGTTTCTATTTTGTTGATTTCAGTTTTCAATTTGATTATTTCCTGCCATCTAGTCCTCCTGGGTGAGTTTACTTCTTTTTGTTCTAGGGTTTTCAAATATTCTGTTAACTTACTAGTGTGGGGTTTTTCATGTAGGCATTTAGTGCTATGAATTTTCCTCTTAACACTGCTTTCATTGTGTCCCATAAATTTGGGTATGTTGTATGCTCATTCTTATTGAATTTTAGAAAGTCTTTAATTTCTTCCTTTTTTTTTCTTCTTTGACCCATTGATGATTCAGGTGAGCATCGTTTAATTTCCATGTGTTTGTGGGCTTTCTGGAATTAGTGTTGCTGTTGAATTCTAATTTTAAGCCATGGTGATCCAATAAGTTACATGAGGTTATTCCAATTAGTTGTATCTGTTGAGATTGTCTTTGTTACCTAGTATGTGGTCAATTTTTTGGGAAGATTCCATGAGATGCTGAGAATACAGTGTATTGTTTTAGGATTGGATTGAATGTTCTATAGATGTCTGTTAAGTCCATTTGAGTCATAACATCTGTTAGTTCCCTTATTTCTCTGTTAATTTTCTTTCTGATAGACCTGGTTCACTGGTGAAAGTGGGGTGTTGAAGTATTCCACTGTTAGTATGTGGGGTTTAATGTGTGATTTAAGCTTTAGAAGTGTTTCTTTTATATATGAAGATGCCTTGTATTTGGGGCCTAGATGTTCAATATTGAGATTTCCTCTTGATGGGTTTTTTCCTATAACTAATATGAAATGTCCTACTTTGTCTCTTTTGATTGACTTTAGTTTGAAGTCTATTTTGCTAGCTATTAGGATAGCTGCAATAGCTTGTTTCTTAGGTTCATTTGACTGGAAAAATTTTTTCCCAACCTTTTACTCTGAGGCCATGTCTGTCTTTGAGGTTGAGGTGTGTTTCTTGTATGCAGCAGAAGGATGGATTCTGTTTGTGTTTCCAATCTGTTAGCCTGTGAGTTGAGTCCATTTATATTAAGGGATATTAATGACCAGTGATTTATAGCTCCTGTTATTTTAGTTTTTGTTGGTGGTGATGATATTGTATGTGTTTTTCCCTTCTTTGGGATTTGCTGTTGTGAGATCATCTATTGTCTGTGTTTTTGTTGACGTACTCAACTTCCATGGGTTGGAGTTTTTCTTCTAGTACTTTTTGTAGGGCTGGGTTTGTGATTAAGTATTGGTTAAATCCAGTTCTGTCATGGAGTATTTTGTTTCATCCGTCTATAGTGATTGCAAGTTTTGCTGGGAATAGTAGTCTGGACTGACATCCATGGTCTCTTAATGCTTGACACACATAATGTTTGACCAGAACCTTTTGACTTTCATTGTTTCTATTGAGAAGTCAGGTGTAATTCTGATAGGTCTACATTTATGTTACTTGGCCTTTTTCTTTTTCTGCTCTTAATATTCTTTCTTTATTCTATATGTTTAGTATTTTGATTATTATGTTGCACAGGGACTTTTTTTGATCCAATCTATTTGTTGTTCTGTAAGCTTCTTGTGTCTTCATATGCATATCTTTCTTTTGGTTGGGAAAGAGTTCTGCTATGATTTTGTTGAATACATTTTCTGTGCTTTTGAGTTGGGCTTCTTCTCCTTCTTCTATCCCTATTATTCTTACGTTTGGTCTTTTTATGGTGTTCCATATTTCCTGGATATTTTGTGTAAAGCGTTTGTTAGATTTAATGTTTTCCTTGACCAATGAGTCTATTTCCTCTATTGTATCTTCAGCACTTGAGATTCTCTCTTTCATCTATTGTATTCTGCTCTTCAAGCTCTCATTTGTGATTTCTGAGAATTTTTTCGTAATTTCCATTTCTATGATTTCCTCAGTTTGTGTTTTCTTTATTGTCTCTCTTTTGGTTTTCAAGTCTTGGATAGTTTCTTTCATCTGGTTGATTGCTTTTTTTTTTTTTTTGGTTTTCTTTAAGGGATTTGTTGATTTCTTCCAATTTTTATTTGTCTTTTCTTTGAGTGAATTTTTCATTTCCTCTTTAAGGGCCTCAAACATCCTCCTAAAGTATTTTTTTAGGTTGTTTTTTTCTGCTTCGTCTATATTTGATTGTCCAAGTCTTGTTGTTGTAGGACCACTGGTTTTTATTGGTGTCATATTGCTCTTTGTGGTGTTGAGTGTGTTCTTATATTGTCTATGCATCTTTCCTTTGATTACTATAGTTGGGGTTGTATCTCTGGTGTTCAGTATTTTAGGTGCCAGTGGATCCAAGGCTCAGATGGTTGCTCCTCATGGTATAATCAGGGCCACAGTTCCTGTCACCTTGGAAGTCACTCAGTGTTCCTTGAGTCACACAGTACTCCTGGGGTCACTCTGCAATACTGGGGGTCATTTAGGCCTGCTCCCATGAAGGTTTCTTGCTTAGGGCTGCTCCCACTGAGGTCACTGCCTTGGTCCTGCTCTGGCAAAGGTTGCTAATTCAGGCCTGCTCCCGTGGAAGTCCCTAGCTTGGGCCTGGTTTTGCAGAGGTCTCTGGCCCACCCCTGCTCCCTCAGATTTCCCTAACTGGCATCTGGACCCACAGAGGTCTCTGGCTTAGGCCTGCTCCCTTAGTGGCAGCTTCCTTGTGCCTGCTTCTGTGGAGGTCTTTTCCTGGGGCCTGCTCCAGGGGAGGTTACTGGCTCAAGCCTGCTCCTGTGGAGGTTGCTGCCTTGGGCCTGCTCTGGTTGAGGTAGCTGACTCAGGCCTGGTCTTGCAGATGTCCCTGGCTTGGGCCTTCTCCCTCAGAGGTCCCTAACTGGTACCTGGTCCCACAGAGGTCTTTGGCTCAGGCCTGCTTCCTAGGTGGTTGCTCCCTTGTACCTACTTCTGTGGAGGTTGTTGCCCTGGGGCCTCTAACTAGCTCTTATATCTTAAACTAACACATCTTCATTAATCTGTGTATCGCCACATAGCTGTGGCTTACTGGGTAAAGTTCTGTCCAGTGTCCACATCTGTCTTGGGCAGGGCTACATCTAGAGAGGTGATTGTTGATGTTGACTCAAAGGCCATTCTTTAATGAATTAGTCATATAATTGAATTTACCCACCCCATATTGGTGACTTTCCTTTATAAAATTAGTTGGAATGAGTGAAATAATCTTGAATCAGTTGTACTAATCCCTGAAAAAAGTCCCACTCTATCAACACTCCCTCTGATGGTAGGAAGACTTCAGTAATCCATCAGTGCTGAGAAGTTTGGAAGAGAAATCAGAGTCAGGGAGGGCCTCATAATTCACTCATTCCGTTCTTTACTTTCTGAATTAGAGAAGTCATTTAGACTAGACAATTTGCCATTATAAGAGGCAAAATATTCTATTTTCCCATTAAGAGTTTTCATGTTTTATTAATGAATAGGTCTTTGCTACGGCCTTCAAATTATACACTAGTTTTTTTCAAAGAAAGGCATTTCTTTGTCAATTTCTATAGAGTAACAAATAAGGCAGTATCACTAACAATGCTAAACAGTTTATGGAGCTGACTAATCTGCATGCTGTGTCCGTCAGGCCTGACCAGTTATCTCAGGGTTAGGGTTATTTAGATTGTATGTATTAATTATAGGAAGCTGAAACTTTAGAAGTATTTTATTGAGAGCAATGACTTTATGTTAATGATGTAATATCTAGAAATCAAAGAATCATTTGCTCTCAGGTTGATTTCTTAAATCGCAACAACCTAATCTTTTGAGATTTCACTAACTTGTAATGGGTACTTGGACCAAAATGACTCATATTGAAGGACTGTTTTCATAGAGGATAATAAATTTTAACACTTGTTAGCACACCCTCCTGCATCCTAGGAACTGATGGAGAAGGCTATTTGTACTGTGATGTGTTCTCTTCCAGGCGCCATCAGCCTACAAATATATGCTGCTGCCTCAGAGAGTCAGTTGATGCGGGTCCTGCGCTTGCACCACACAGTCATGTACATCTTCTATGGGCTCCTGGGTGTGACCAGAATCTTAGGCTCTACCACTAATTGTCTTCCAGTCTCCCTAACCAAGCTGGCACTGTCGAACGCTTTCCTGGTGCAGGGTAAGTATCAGCACTTTTTTTCTAGACAGTTCTCAACCATTAGACATCTAGGTAGCCTTTTAGAAGGTATCTTTGATGTTATGGTATAGCCTTGATTGATGAGAACACTTCTATCCCAGCCACAATGAGATATTTGGGTGTCAGAATACCAAAGATTTTCCTTCCCCACTAATTTATTTAATAGGCTTAAGGCCAGCAAAACCATTCAATGTATTCATTCATTTTCTGTCTTAAAGACTCATGTATTAACATCAAGATATTTTGTACCATCTACTGACTCTTTAAAAAAATCCAAGAAGTAAAACTCTGTTAGTATGTAATAAATATATTTAGCCATATTTAAAAATGAGGTTGTTGGGGTTAGAGAGATAGGTCAGCCAGTTAGGAGCACTTGCTATTCTTGCAGAGAAGCAGAGTTTGATTCCCATGATCAAGCCAGGAAACTTGCAACTTCCTGTAGCCTCTCTTCTAAACTCTAGAGGTGTATGCACTCATGTATGCATACCTACAACCTGACGACACACATATATTTAATTGAAAATAAATCTTAAAGAAGGAGGTACAAATTTGGAGAGTTCAACGATAAACTGCACATTCTGTTCATTTGGTTTCCCATCTTATTGTAGGGGAAAAGAAAGCAAGTGCTTAGAGACTTGTCTTCATTTATTCCACGCATATGATGCATATTAATTATGCAAATCCAAAAGTAATCAGAATATAGTCACTTCCTATCTCTTCATCTTGCCTTCCACATCTGTTGAAAGAACTTCTGCCTGCTACTCTTTGAGAACAAGAACCAGATAAAAGACGAGTCTCAACAGCCAGCAGTATGGTCCTGTTATCTCAAGCGCTACTACACTATACATTTCATAAATGTATTTTCCTCTTTAAAGAAAAATGGTGCAAAGAATTTGGAATCTCTTCATAGAATGAAACAATACACGTATTTAAAACTTCTTGAGGAATTCCAGATAATATTGCTGTGTCTATTAAGGTTCAGACTTTGTTGACTCCCCAAGGGAGGCCTCTGAAAAGTATATGGAGGGTGGGAATGGGGGAGGATGGGGAGCAGGAGAAGGAGAGGTAGAGGTAATGATGTTGGTATGTAAAATGAAAATAACTTTAATTTAAAAAGTCCAAGGTTATGGTCTATGTATGTATTTACATCTCCCAGGGGACTAAGGCCCTGATGTGAGACTTCAGCTCATTTATCTGTATAGTTGTACAGCTCATAGTTCCTCAGCCCCATTAGCTTCTTATCCATCATCTTGCACAGAGAATTCTCTGACTTATAGTTGCTTGAAGATGCCAGGATGTGGTAAAGGAAAAAATAAATGTTAGAGGAGTGGAAAGGATGCTTATCATTCCAACGTTCAATTTTGAAGAAGCAGTCATGGCAGTGGGCAGAGAGAAGAAAAAACAAACTGTGAACAGCTCTTGGTTTCATTGTATGACAAACTGTTTTCTTCCCTCTATCAGCTTTTATCATGTACAACCACACACATGGCCGGGTTGTAGTGGACATTTTTTTGCACAAGATCCTGGCTCTTGCCACAGTTTTGACAGGCGTGGTTTCCTTCATGGAGGTCCTCACAAAGAATAACATAACTCTGGAGCTGCTGCGGTCGAGTCTCATCTTGCTCCAAGGGACTTGGTTATGGCACGTAAGTTGGGACTGCGAGGTGATGGTCATGTGCCTGCACCTGTGGCTTCTCATTTTGATGGAACTTATCTCTCTATAGTTCAAGACCTTCTACAATACTATGTGGACCGCTGAGAAATTACATTTTTTAAATGCTTGGTTGCCTGAGGAGGCAGATAGTACATATACCCAAGTAGTCAGCATATAGAGAGTCTGAATTGTCAAAAGCCATCTGTGATACATTTGCTGTCCAGTGACCAGCAAGTTTAGAAAATTAGTGGGAGGCAAGACATTGAGGAAGACTGGTGCTTGTGGGCACATGCCTTTAATCCCAGCACGTGGGAGGGAGGGGCAGGCGGGTCTCTGAGTTTGAGGCCTGCCTGGTCTACAAAGCGAGTTCCAGGAGAGACAAGGCTGTTAAACTGAGAAATCCTGCACCGAAAAAACAAACAAACAACAACAACAAAAACAAAAAAGAAATTGAGGAAACCAATATTTGCTGTGAAGCAATTACATGGTTGATGTAGTAGGGCCTAGCTCACTACAAGCCATGGCATCCATGGAACTATATGAAAACAGGCTGAGCAAATTAGGAGGAGCGAGCTGGTAAGCGGTATTCCTTCACAACCTCTGCATCAGCTTCTGCCTCCAGGTTCCTGCCTTGTCTAAGTTCCTACCTTACCATCCCTCAATGATAGACTGTGCTGTGGAAGTGTAAGCTAGAATAAACCCTTTACTCCCTAAAGTTGTTCTTGGCCATGGGACTTATTCACAGCAGTAGAAACCCTAGCTAAGACAGTATGGACCAAAATGTGGTATGCAACCACATTTGTTGAAAAAAAATTATTTATTTTGAAACTATCACCAAATTTCAGGACGCAGAGCTGAAAGTCTGTTTTCTTATGTTTTGTGATTGTAGAGAGAATATTTGGATTTTTAGATAACTTTGCATGTAGTGGGAGCTAAGTGTCTCTGTGGTCTTGATAGGAAATGTTCGTGGCAGATTCATGTTTTCAAAGCTTAGTCACCGCTCATGGCTTCATTTGTACCATTCTATCTTGGAAATATGTAGCTTTGCTTTTGACTTTTAAGTGGCTCTCCACTAATTATCTTGAGTTTCAGAAAAGACTTTGGATTTGGACTTTCAAACACTATTGATGCTACTCAATATTTGAAGATGCTTAGAGACAGTATAAATGCATTTTCTACTGTGAGATCAATGGTCATGAGCCTTCAGTGCCCATGTAGTAAATGACCAGCTGTGGAAACATACAAAAAAAGTAACATTGTATGAACTCAACAGATTATATTTGGGAATATATATATGTATGGACAAATACATATATGCATGCAGCAACAATTAAAGCAAAAAGAGACCATGAATTTGGAGGAGAGTGTTTGGAGGTAGGAGCAGGAAGGGAGAGATGTTCTAATTAAAACACAATCTCAAATACAGACAAGACTCAACTGTGAACTATCCCTCATAAGCTCACATTTTGGATGTTTGGTCTCCATCTGGCAGAGCTATTTGGGGGAAACTCTGGAAACTTTAGGAAAGAGGATTTAGTTTGAGGAAACAGGTCACCAGGGGCAGGGTCTTGGGAAAATCTTGTCCCACTCCTCTCATTTTCTCTGCTTCATTCCTGGATGAGGGTCTTTCCCACCATATTCGTCTGCCCCACCATCTTCTACACAACCACATGGAGCTATGTGACCATGGATCAAACCCTGAAACCCTGAGCCAAAATGTATTCCTCTTCACTTCACTCTTGCCAATTTTTGACATAGAAATGAGGCAAGTAAATACTACAGGGGTCCAATTAAAATTCAGCCTTTCCATGTTATATTATGATTGTCTCATCATCATTTAGTGAAGAGACTATTAACTAAGGTTGACAAATTCATTAAATACCTTTGGCATATTGTGAAACACCAAATATATATGTGTGTGTGTGTGTTTATTTCTGAAATACAAATTTTATTTTCTTGTATCTATATGCCTATCATTAAACCAACACCAATTTTTTTTTTTTTTTTTTTTTGGTTTTTCGAGACAGGGTTTCTCTGTGGCTTTGGAGCCTGTCCTGGAACTAGCTCTGTAGACCAGGCTGGTCTCGAACTCACAGAGATCCGCCTGCCTCTGCCTCCCGAGTGCTGGGATTAAAAGCGTGCTCCACCATCGCCCGGCTAACACCAAAGTTTTAATTACTGTATAGTTGTAGTAATTTTTAAATTGTGCGCTATATAAATTTTCATTTTAAAGTGTTGTTCTTTTTTCAGAATCCTCTGAAATTTGTATGAATTTCAAGATCATTATTTTTTAAATATCTGAAATGAAGAACATTTGTATTTCAATAGGTATTAGAGTGTATCTTTTAGAGTTACTCTTTTAATTTCATTTAGGAGTTATTTGTTGCTTGTGTATAAAGATTATAAATGACTTTTTGTGTTGATTTTGTACCTGCAGATATACTAAATTAATTTATTACTAAAGAATTACTTTATAAGCTATTACTATCTCAATAATATTAAGAATTCTAACTCATACATGTGTTATAGTTTTCCATTCCCTATCTTTAGACTTCTTATTTTCTTTAACAGTGTTGGACAGCTTTAGTTTACAGGTCTTCTCAATTTTACTAAATGTATATATGTGCATTCGTTGCATGCAGAGGTCTAAAGAGGCCCTGTTGATTTAGAGGCCCTGTTTTCTCAGCAGGTCCCCTGGAACTGGAGTTACAAGTGATTGTGAATCACTGTGTGGTGCTGGAACTCACACCAGCATTCCCTGCCAGAATGGCAGCTTCTGTTAGCCACTAAGCTGTCTCTCCGGCCCCCTTTAATTTGGAAGAGCAAGTTTCTTGGGGTCTTTACCAGAATCTAGACTATGATACACAAATAATATGTCATGGAACAACATACTCCACCATGAATCTGTGATTAAATTTATTCTTATGTCTTTTATGGTGTTCAATTCTATTGTAGTAGAATTACTCATTTAATTTCACTTTGGGGTTATTTGTTGCTTGTGTGTAAAGATTATAACTGACTTTTGTGTTGATTTTGTACTTGTGGATGTGCTAAGTTAATCTATAGTTTTTTTAAAAGAAAAAATCCTCGGTTTTGCTATATGTAATATCAGAATATTTACAAATGTGGAGAGTCTTATTTATTCTTTTCTAACACTTGGGAATCCCATAAAAACAATAAACTGGGAGCCATAATATACGTACAAAGAACTTGTAAGGTAAAAATAGAAAAAAATATATAAATAAAAATTAAGATTAAAAAAAAAACCCACAGCATGACACTGTGAGACAAGGAACCTCCAGAGGTACTGTTGACTCATTTTCTGTTGGCCATCCACTGCTGGGCATGCAGCCTACCCTTAAGAGTAGTTTGTTTCCCTAGTGAGACTCTTTTGGAAAAAAAAAAACAACTAGGTTTTCATTTTCAAGTGGTTATAAATTGGAAATATCTCTGAGTTAGGAATGGGGGCATGTCCACTCTTTCAGCTCCAGGGTCTGGTGCAGATCCTGCATACCCTGTGCATGCTGCCATAGTCTCTGTGAACTCTTATGTACACCAATCTTGTTGATTTAGTGGCCCTGTTTCCTCAGTGTCCTACATCCCTTCTGGCTCTTACCCTCTTTCTGCCTCCACTTCTGTAGGGTTCCCTGAGCCCTGGAGGGTGTGAGGTGGAAGTTGATGGAGACATCCTGTTTAGGGCTAAGTGTTTAAGGCTACATATTATATAGTTGTGAGTCTGTGTTTGTTTCCATCTACCGTAGAAATCTTCTCTGATGATGACTGAGCAAGGCACTGATTTATGAATATAGTAGAGTGTCATTAGGAGTCATATTATTGCTATGTTCTTTTTGTAGAATAGTAGTATTTGGTTTAACCTTAGATCTCTGGGCTATCTAGTCTCAGGCTACTGGTCATTCAAGCAGTGTCAGGAATGGGTTCCATCTTGTGGCATGGGCCTTAAGTTGGAGTAGGAGGGTCTTCTGTCTATGTGTTACTCTCATTGGTCAGATAAAGAAACTGTCTTGGCCTTTTGATAGGACAGTAGCTTAGATAGGCAGAGTAGACAGAACAGAATGCTGGGAGAAAGAAAGCAGAGTCAGGCAGACGCCATGGCTCTCCTCTCCAAGAAGGATGTAGGTTAGACTCATCCCTGTAAGCCACAGTCACATGGTGATACACAAATTATTAGAAATGGGTTAATTAAGATGTGAGAGTTGACCAAGAAGAAGTAGAAATAATGGGCCATGCAGTGTTTAAATGAATACAGGTTCCGTGTAATTATTTTGGGTGTAAAGCTAGCCAGAAGTCATGCAGCGGGAAGCAGCCCCCCCATCCCGCTCCTCCTTACAACATTAAGTCAAATCAGGTATTGGTTAGTTACTCCCACGAGCTTTGTATCACCACTGCGGTAACATGCCTTGTGGGCAGGACACCTTTTTAGACCAAAGGGTTTGTGACTAGGTTGGTGTTTACATTTCTTCTTTGGTAGCATGCAGGATACTTTCCTCTACCAAAGATGTTTGCCTGTAGGAAGAAAAGCTTATACCTTCTGTAGGGCTGAATCTGTAGATAGATATTGTTTAAATTAGGTTTTTATCATGGAATGTCTTATTTCACCATCTATTGCAACTGAAGTTTTGCTGGTTATAGAAGTCTCAGATGGCATCTGTGGTCTATTATAGTCTGTAGAACATCATTTTAGGAGCCTTTGGCTTTTAGAGTCTCCACTGGGAAGTCAGGTGTTATTCTAATAGCTTTGCTTCTGTATATTACTTAGTCATTTTGGTCATTTTTCCTTGGCACTTTTTAATATTATTTTTTTGTTCTATATGTTTAGAATTTTGATTATTATATGTCAAGGGAAATTTTCTGGTCCAGTCTGGTGGTTTGTCTTGTACTTTGATAGGCATCTCCTTCTTTATGTTTTAGAACTTTTCTTCTATAATTTCATTGAAAATACTTTCTATGCCATTGACTTGCATTTCCTCTCCTTCCTTTTTTTTTCTTATAACTCTTAGATTTGGTCTTTTCATATCATCCCAGATTTTCTGGATGTTTTGTACCAATACTTTTGAGATTTAACATTTTCTTTAACATGTTCAGTGTTGTAGTCTTATTGACTACAGACTTATTGTTTCATGCCATCCTTTCATATATCATGGATAGAGGTTTGGGTGTACAGTCCAAACAAACTTGTAAAGTTAACTGATGCCTTTACCTTGCTCAAATATAAAACAAAAAAATCATCTGTAGAAAGTCTTTCTTTGTACCACTAGCTCCCAAATAATGACCCAGAGACTTATTGATCATCAATGCTTGATCTTAGCTTGTACTTGTCCCACTAGCTCTTATAACTGAAATTAACCCATTTATTTTAATCTATGTTCTGTTGAATGGCTTGTTACCTCATCTCTCCACAGTGCTCATGTTGTTTTTTCTGTGTCTGTCTCATGACCTCCCTCCTTTCTTCTTCCCCAAATCTATTTCTGTCTCCAGAAGTCCCACCTAACCTCTTCCTGCCTAGTTATTGGTCATTAAACTCTATCAAACCAGCTACAGTGGCACATCTTCACACAGTGTAAAGGAATATTCCACAAGAACCGTCTTTAACTGACTTGTTCACACTGCACTTTCCATATTTCTATTAATGCAGATATATATGTTAACTTTAAAAGTTAATGTGTCTTCAGAAAAAAAGGACCAGACACCAATGAAGACAAATAGCTCAGGTGATCCAGCCTCTCAAAATGCCTCTGCTGCATTTTGCTCAAAATTCTGCATCTAGAACAACTTCAAAGCTGCTTATTGAGGTGGTCCAGCCTCACAGATGATCCAGCCAAGACTTCAGATAAGCTCTACACTTTCTCATCACACAGAGACTAAACAAAAAATAATACAGCTAAACATCAGGAAGCTTACTAGAGAACATGATACCCACATCCTAAGAAATCAGGTGGATGGCTTTTGGTCATCCTGTGGGTTATGGCTGTTTGTCATCCTTTAAGGAGGTTGGTTACAAGTTGTTATTGGTCATGGTCAGGAAAAAGAGTTGAACAAAGGATATTAGATTTAGGAATCTCTTTCTGAAGGGAAAAAGGGGGATATAGTATAGAAATGATGGGGATAAAAGGGTGAATGTTGAATCTATTTTTGAACTAAACTACTAGTCTCAAATATTTTACAATGACATGAATTTTTATATATTGATACAAATTTAAGGTTATTTTGTTATACTGTATATATGTTTCTACTCTTGTTTATGGTATTGTACCTATACATTTTATTTAACAATGTAAATTTCTAGTTCTTAAAAGCTATTTAGAATAATAAAGAAATATAGGTTAAGAACCAATCATCTATAAGAATCAAGCTTATATTCACGTTAGGTATGTTTTCAAGGTTAACTAGAGATATATTTTAAATAGATAGATGGTCTTCAAGCACTTCAAAGACCTACAGAATATGGCATTTAAAATGTTTTAATAACATAAGGCTTTTCATGACAATGAGATATGTCTGCTCCTTGCAGCACCAATTTACTTTAAAAAAATGATGGGCATTTAAGAACCTTCACATGGAGTTTAATTTCATTTGTGGCATAATTAGCTACTGGGCAAAGAAATTGCCCTTGCCTCAACTGATGACAGAATGCCATCTAATTTGGACTAGCAAGACACAAAAGAAGGTGACTACCAAACTTTGCCAAGTCAAGGTAGGACAGTACTTCAAAATTCCTGCTTATCAGAAAAGTCTGTCAGATATATAGGTACATAGGGCCCAACATAACAATGCTTGGGGTGACTGTTCAGGCAGCCATATATCTCTGTCATTTCTTAGTTTTGGAAGTTGCTTACTCTGTACTTCCTGTTTAATCAGGTAATACTGCATCCTTCTTTGATCTCAGATGGGGTTGAAGATTGAATAGTTATAGTTATAGTTTTCCATAGTTTTGTTAGAAAATAAATCAGGTACAAAACTTTGGACTTGCCAAGATAGGATAGATAAGGGAGTATTTTTTAATTTACCAATACTAATTGACTGAACATTATGAACGTATTTTTTTATTTGATAAGTGTTCTTATTGTATATCATTTTACTGTGTTAAAGTTAAAACTTCCCTTTTTATTTAGATAAAAGGTGGGAATGTTGTGGAATATTTGGATACTGTGAAGAGGCATTGTTGTGATTGGTGAAATTAAAAGCTGAATAGCCAATAGCTAGGCAGAAGACATAGGTGGGACTTCTGGGCAGAGAGAAAGGAAGAAGAGAAGGAATCTAGCCAAGGGAATTATGGCAGAGAGATACCAACAAGACATGGAGGGAGTCAGACATACAGAATACGAGAAAGGTAAAAAGCCACATGGTAAAACATAGGTTAATACAAACAGGTTAATTTAAGTTATAACAGCTAGTGGGACAAGCCTAAGCTAAGGCCAAACTTTCGTAGTTAATAATAAGCCTCCATGTCATTATTTGTAAGCTGGTGATCCAAAAAAAAAAAAAAAAAAAAAAAAATTCTACTACACCTCAGTATCCATTTCTTCTATTGTGTCTTCAATGCCTGAGATCTTTCTTCTACCTCTTGTATTCTGTTGCTGAGGCTTGCTTCTGGGGTTCCTGTTCAAATTCCTAAATTTCTCATTCCCAGATTTTCCTCAGTTTTAGTTTTTTTTAATTTAAATTTTATTTATTTTACATACCAAACACAGTTTCTCCTCTCCTCCCATTTCCCTCCCCCACCTTCTTTTTAGCGCCCCCCCCCACGCCTCAGAAAAGATAAGGGGATTCATCAAAGCCTGGCATATCAAGTTGAGGCAGGACCAAGTTCTTCCCTCCTGCATCAAGTCTGGGCAAGGCATTCCACCATAGGGGTGGGTTATTAAAAGCCAGTTCATGAGCTAGGAACAGATCCTGCTCCCACTGCTAGGGGCTCCACCAACAGACCAAGCTACACAACTGTCACCCACATACAGCAGGGCTAGGATGGTCCAATGTGAGCTCCCCAACTGTCGGTCTAGAGTCTGTGAGCTCCCACAAAGTCTAGTCAGCTGTCTTTGTGGGTTTCCCCATCATGATCTTGACCCCTCTTGCTCATATAATCCCTCCTTTTTCTCTTCAACTGGACTTCCAGAGGTTTTAATTTTCTTAATTGATGGTATTGAACTTTTTTTTTAAAGATTTATTTATGTATTATGTATACAGTGTTCGGTCTGCATGTATACTTGCATGCCAGAAAAGGGCACCAGATCTCATTACAGATGGTTGTGAGCCACCATGTGGTTGCTGGGAATTGAACTCAGGACCTCTGAAGGAGCAACCAGTGTTCTTAACCACTGAGCCATCTCTCTAGCCCCATCTTGAACTGTTTTATTCATTTCCTTCCACTCTTTGTGTTTTCATATATATTTATAAGCGATTTATTTACTTCTTTAAGGATGTCTACTATATTCATAAAGGCTATTTTAAGATCTTTGTCTTGTGCTTCATCTGTTTTTCAATTCTCAGGGACTAGTATTGTAGCATTGCCGGGCTTTCTTTCTCTTTCTTTCTTTCTTTCTTTCTTTCTTTCTTTCTTTCTTTTGGTGAGTGCTTTGTTATTTGGTTTCTGTTGCTTTGATTCTTAGTAAGTCTTGGTGCCTATGTGTTACTTGGTAGGAAATTCTGGGAACCTGCTAGGTGTTGCCACGTGAGTTTCTGGGTAAAATGTGTTTCTAGATATTAGGAGATGGCATTTAGGAATGCAAATGGACTGGAGGAGTTGGGGGGATGGAGGGTGCACAGGAGGGAGGAGAGCAGCCTGTTTAACCAGGACCTGCTGAGTCCCCTGGGGATGGGGACAGAGAGTGAGGAGAGGCCACAGCAGGTAGTCTGCTTTAAAGCTGGTGGGCCTGGATTTGCAAGAGCAGAGAGAGAGAGTTAAGAGCTGAGGCTTGTCCACCTGCTTCACTGGCCTACTTGCTTCTCTGTCAGGCTGAACTGAAAGTTTCCCAGGGAATACTGGCTTGAGTTGGGGGTTTTGCTAATGGAATGAGTGGGGAGGAATGTTGGAGAAGAATTGTGTGATCTACCAGAGATGAAGACAGAGCAGAGGGGAGGCCATAGCAGGTGGTGTGCTATGGAGCTGGGAATGAGATTGGGGATTTGAGTTGGAGGAGAGAAAGGAGAGATAAAGACCTACAGTTAGCCTACCTGATTCCCTGGCCAGAGTCTGTTTTACAATTTTATATAACCTAATTTTAAAATAATAGAATAAATGTATATATGTGAACTTTCTGAACATCTTCACATAACAAGGAATGCTTATTATTCATATTTTGAAAATTGATCATTAAATTTCCTTAAGATCTGTTTTAAAGGTATGACTTAGATATTGTCTCTGTTACTGAATCAGGTCAAAACACAGTATTTATCTGTGACATCTCAGATGATGGACGTTATCTTAATCACCAGAGATTTTAAAATGTGCCATTATTAGCAATATGTTCCTTTATTTTAATTTTGGGGTTTTTATCCTGTTATGTTTATCTTACAGATGGGGTTTGTTCTCTATAACCCGACTGGAGGTTTTGAATGGGATCTGACAGATCATCACAGCAATATGCTTCTCACTGTGTATTTTTGTTGGCATTATGCATTTGCCTATATCATCATTGGAGTGAACTACGCTGTTATCACTTGGTGAGTTAATGATTTTTGCTCATGGCTATTTCATTCTTGGTATATGATCATCAAGACCCAATAATATTGAAAGGAAACACCTGAAAGGGGCCATCTTCTTACTACCACGTCTCAATGGATTTCCTAATCCAAACCACCAGGCATGCAGACTCCATCCCATGGTCTGTCAGAGCACAGCTCTGACTGCAGTATTTCTATCTAGAGCATTCCACTTAGTTGTCACTGGCCCTTGAACACTTTAAACATGGCAAGTGCCACATTAATTTCAATAAATCAAGTACCTAATAAGGTTGAATCTCTTATATACTATGTTTAGAAACTACACATGTGCTTTCCAGTCTCTCCCTATCCCCAACACATTTCATTCTGGACTTTCCAGTGGGCACTTTCTGCTACCTGGCGTACTCACATTAAGTGGCCAACTTTTCTTAAAGATCCTGTGATTCCTCCAACCCATTCATCCACCGGATGTCTTAACAGTGATGTTGACTATTAGTTCATTTGTGTTAGTCCTCTCTGTTGTCTTGAGCGGTCATAAGGGCACATTTCCCAACATGCTGCAGTTAATCTGTCATTGCTTGTTTGCCACTAAAGGACCTGTATTCCGGGTAAAATTAAAGCCACCGTACAGCCTTCATTTATTTTGGAAAAGTCTTCTATGCTGTTTAGTTTGGCCCTTTTATGGATACTGTAAAGATATAACTGAGATTGAGTACTACCTTTGTACAGTTAAATGGCTGGCTAATTCAGCCCTGAAATTCAGGATAAGGAGTTGTAAAAATGTGGTAGTAAAGGTTTCACCACGTGTTTGTATCTCATCCACATGGATGTACTATCAAACATTATGTGATTCGTTTGGCATTGCATAGTGATCGTCATGCAGCCTAAATAGCGTATGGAATAACTGTGCCCAGAATTCCTAAAAGATGAGGCTATCTGCCAGTTCCCTAAAGCGACGGTTCAAGGATAGCATCATCCTATCTCACACCTGCAATCTCGATTATGATGGCTTTTTATCTGGGAGTTATCTGCTCAGAAATCTTTTTGTGCCTTATCTGTTGCAAAGAACTAATTCACAAGATCTCATCTGTGGAAATAACAGGAAATAACAACCAATTAAAATCAGGTTCCCAAGTGATAATTCACTTGAGCCATTTTGATAAGCAAAGCAGAGATTCTCCAAATACCAGGCATATGACTGCTAAATGATAGGTCAGCTCTTGTCTTTCTTACATACGTGAAGGGACTATATGGGATCAAAAGATTGTATCTACTCGGAATCTAGCTCCTGAAATTGACCCCATTCTAGTGAATAGTGGTTACTTTCCATTCTTGTTTGTTGGCTTTCTACTGCCCCCTGGAGGCCATTTCTGCATCTCTAAACCGTAGAGCTACTAGAGGAAAATCAAACCTGGTTAAAGACTTCTGAATGTGACTGGAGTTTGTGGCTTGTGATAAGGGTGTACAAAAAGCAGAGAAAAGGAAGACAAAGTCACTAGGGGCTATGAAAATAATTAATTCATAGGCTAGAGAAATCGCTCAGTGGTAAAGAGCACTTGCTGTTCTTCCAGAGGACCCTAGTTTAGTTCCCAGCCCCTAAGTCTTCCGGCTCTTAACCACCCATTACTCCTGTTCTAAAATATCTGATGACTTCTTCTAGCCTTCAGAGTAGCCTCATACATGTAGTCTATACACACATATACATAAATTAAAATTTTAAATAATTAATACGATAGAAGCAACTACATATACTTAAATTCTCTATATTGAAATCTCAGTAACAAAGCTAGTTCATCAGCTAGCCAACCCTTTACATTTTCTCCATGTTGAAGTTGTGCAATGAGGAAATGATGTGTGGCTTTAAAAAGTGGCAAAAGGAAGTTCTCAGGCTTGCACTATGACAGAGTATTAGCCTTTCATGCAGAAGTGACTTGAGGTTTGAGGAGGACAGTAGGGACAATATTAATAGTCAATAACCAAGGTCAATCGTTTTAAGCAGTTGCCTTCAGCTCTTGAGTCAAAAGATGTTTCAGAGACTAAGCGCCCGTTGTTTACTGGAGGAGTTAGCGTAAGTTGACAAAGGCTCAGGAGTTAGTTTCTGTTCTCAGATGAGCAGTGTGACTCTACCGTCAAAGTGTCCAAAATGTTACAGCCAGAATCAATTCAGAAGGCTGGGGTTTGGGTAGCAGATAGGATGAAGTCTCTGCTCTGTTGATCTTTTAGTGGGACTGAGAGTCCAGAGCATTGTCAGGGATGTGCAGAACTCCATCCAAAGAAAGACAGGAAGTAAAGGTCATGTGTGGGTGGCCTGGCGAACTTTCTCTTAAAAGAATTATCTGGAGGGTTTGCTTCATCAAATGTCTTTCTATAGACTTGTGCATTTCTGGAAATCATATTCTATTCAGGTGGTCAAAGTCACAGTGTCCTTCTGAAAATCACACATGTGAAAAGGTTTTCTTATCTCTTAGTAAATACCTTTTCTCATCAGAGACTCAGAAAACCTACTGAGCTGGGGCCACTAAGTAATTTCCTTTCTTCCAGTGTCAAAAATTATCATCACCACTTCCGTCTGAGTTTCTCTTGAAGTGATAACATTCTCAGGGGAGAAAATCATTCTTGAAAGTTCCTAAATCACCATGGGCAGGGCAATCACCTGATTCTGAGTGCTCTGTGTCCTGTGCAAAACCACATTTCTGAAGAGGCAAGGAGGGATTAAAGTCAACCCAGAATGCTCCTGCCCTTTTCCCCATCCCTTGCCTCCTGCAACAGGTAGGAGAGACCTTGGAGGCACTAGGACGAAAGAGCTGGTCCTGCCCCTCACCGAGTGCAGCAGTTCAGAGAGTAGGCCATGCACCTCTAGCCTGGGCAACACAGCAGAGCTGGTCCTCTTGCTTTGAGTGCACGTGAGCTAGACCAGAGGGTGAACTAGCCAGGGCAGTGCTGGAGAGCAGGCCTGGGTGGTGATGACAAAGGAAAGCTGGCAGGCTGACCAGCCCAACTACCACCCAGGCCCAGAACCTGGATTACAAGGTAGCCTATCTAACACCCACCTCATCTACGAACTGCTGGACCATGGGAAGGTCAGACAACAATAGGATATCCAAGAGGATTCCCAGTGAGGGCCCAGTATCGAGGGTGTAGCAGAAGCCAGAGGCCTCAAACCAGACCCATGACTCATTGTAATGAACACTTACCGGTAAAGACGTAAAGACTAAAAGGTAAACTGTGTGATTCACTGTGTCATGCTGCAACTTCCATGCCGAGAATTCTGTTTGTTTGGTTTGGTTTGGGGCTTTTTTGTTTTGTTTTTGAATTTTGGTTGGGGTCAGGAGAGATGAATGGGGTCAGGATGCATGACGTGAAATCCACAAAAAAAATCAATAAAAAGTGAGGAGAGAGAGAGAGAGAGAGAGAGAGAACTAAATTAATTTAGAATTGCCTTAGGACTCCACTTGGGCTGCCACCTTGGGAAGACTCTCAGATTCACATAAATCCTTCATAGGAAATGAAATCTCTTTGCAGCCCGTGGGAGTGGTTTTGATGCCGAAACTCCACTGAGCTCAGTTTCATCCCTTGCTCAGCCCACAAATTCTTATGCCTAGTTAAACAATCATGGAATCCATTTAAAAGCCATATTTATGTTTCCTTATGCTTGACTTTAATCTACATAAATTTTCAGGAATCTCTGACACCGAGGAAACACAATGTGCCTTTTTTGAGTAGCCTCCTCTAGGTACAGAAATAAACTGGATTGTTAGCTGTATATTGCTCTCCGTTTTTATTTTAGATTTCAGGTAACCAAGATTTATTCTCCCATCCTCCCCATCCAGGTTGGTTAAATGGAGATGTAGGAAGTTCTGCTCCATGCAAATTCCACTCCTGAAAAATTCTGGGCAAGAACAAGAATCAGAAGAGATGTGAACTTGGTGGGCAGCCATTCTCTCTTGCATCAACCCTTTTCTTTTTTGTAATGAACCTTGTTTGCATTTTGTGTTTGACCTGCATTCAATACACACAACAGATCTGTACTGTTTATACTTCCAATTGTGTTTAAAGGTACTTAAATGTAACTATTTTATTTTTATCTTTGAAATTCTTTGGATGTCAAGTTTCTTTCACACACATGGTATTATAATCAGAATCATATGTAAAAATATTCATTTTAATTTGCCACGTGGACAGTCTCCAGACTCCTGGTCTTGCTGTATCTTGTAATTCATTTAAAAAGGAGCAATGAAGAGAATTAATATAGAACTCACGTCTTTGTTTTCACTATTAGGCTATACCATATTCTCATGTGGTATAGAAAAAGCTGAATAATTCTTTCTGTGAAACATTCCCCACAGAGAAACAGATATAAACCGGGATGGTAGCACATATTTTTAATCCCAATGCTCATTCTGTGAGATTGGGAAGCACAGGTAGAAAAATTTCTGGAAGCTCTCAGACTGGCTAACCCTGTGTACACCATGGTAACCAACAAAGAGACCCTATCTCTAGGTGGAAGGTAAAGACCAACATGGAAGTTGTCTTCAGACATCTACACATGTGCCATGGTATCCACATTCACTGACTTCATATCTACATACACACACACATACAGACACATACCATACACACACACACACACACACATACACACACGTACACACATACACACACAAAGTATATTTTTCAATAAGAATTCTCTTTTCAATAATTATCTTTAGTTAAAACAGTGTCTATGAGTTTAACTTTTGATGGGATTACAGTTGGTGAATATTGACCTTCTTTGTAAGGTTTGTGAGATAAACACTAAATGTGTGTTTTCTAAAAAAAATGATGTGGATGATTTTGGTAATTCTTGTAAATACTGACTTAATTTGCTTATTTTTTCACATTGTCACTTAATTTTGATGAGGCTACTATTTTTGTTGTATAATTTATCTTGATTCCTTAATTGCCCTAGGATATAGTCTCACTTTTAGTCTCCTATCAACCTTTAGGCTCCAGGCAGTGGTCTGTTTGTTCTCGGTAGTCCATTTCACTGTCACTTTAATGAGCCATCTTGGAACAATCCTTTGGCTTCATTATGCCTTTTTGAACATGATCTTTGACGGAATAAGATACGGGTAAATAATATTTTCTGCTTTCAATATATTCTCTTACAACATCAAAATATTGTGGCTTTTTAAATATTTCAGCATCACATTGATCTCTGAGGGTACCCTTCTGTACCCTTGAGTAGAGTATTTGGCAGTAGTTTCTGTGTCGTCCCCCACTCCCCAGTCCCATAGTCATTCAGTCCCAAAGAAACACACAGAGGACTACATTAATTATAAATTGGTTGGCCTATTAGGTCAGGCTTCTTATTATTTCTTATATCTTACTTTAAGCCATAATTCTTGTCTGTGCTAGCCATGTGGCTTGGTACCTTTTATCAGTGAGGCATTCTTCATCTTGCTTCCTCTATGTCTGGGTGACAACTGCAGACTCAGCTTCCTGCTTCCCAGAATTTTCATATTCTCACTGCCCTGCCTCTACATCCTGCCTAGTCACCCCACCTCTACTTCTTGCTGGCTACTGGCCAATCAGTGCTTTATTAAAACAATACAAGTGACGGGGTACAAGACCACAGCAAGATTACCCATCTCTTTCCTGACAGTATGAGCCTATGTCCACCATATACTTTTTCCTAAATGTTTCCCTGTTCTCGTTTATAGTATATTTTATCTCAGCGGTCTTCTCTGGATAACTCAATGCTTACAGAACTGGATACCTCATGAATGCATATAATCAGTTACCAAAGCATTTGTTAAGATTGCTGTCAGTCATGACTCTTAAGAGGTTTTCTCCTTTTATTTATTTACTTTTGTGGATTGTCAGGAGCTCTTTGGAAAACTAAAGAAATTGCATGAATTGCTCTTTGACTTGCTTACCTCGTTTATTCTAAGTGATTATGCAGATGTGCATTTAATTTGCTTTTAGTCTATATGCACTCCTACTCCTTATGTGGTTGCATCCAGCTTCTTGGTTAAAAATTGAGAAGATAGTTGGGCCATGGTGGTGTGTATGCCTTTAATCCCAGCACTCAGGGTGGCAGAGACAGGCAGATCACTGTGAGTTCAAGGCCAGCCTGGTCTATAGAGTGAGTTCCAGATCAGCCAGAGATACACAGAAGCCCTGTCTCAAAAACCTAAAGAGAGAGAGAGGGGGGGTGTAAAGGAGGGACTTCAATTTTATGGCTGCCTACCCCTTTTACTGTATGGATGATAAAGTACTGTATGTATAATGTGGAGACATAGAGCTCTTATGCTGGAGAGGATGTGGAGTAAGGGGAACACTTATCCATTGCTGGTGGGAATGCAAACTTGTGCAGTCACTTTGGAAATTACTATGGTTGTTTCTCAGAAAATTAAGAATCAGCCTATCTCAGGATCCAGCAATACCACTCTTGGGATTATACCCAAAAGATGCTCAATAATATTACAAAATCATTTGTTCAACTATGTTCATAGCAGCATTATTTGTAATAGCCAGAACCTGGAAACAACCTAAATGCCCCTCAACTGAAGAATGGATAAAGAAAGTGTGGCACATTTACACATTAGAGTACTACTCAGCAGTAAAAAGCCATGACATCTTGAATTTTGCATGCAAATGGATGGAAGTAGAAAACACTATCCTGAGTGAGGTAACCCAGAACCCCCCCCCCAAATGAATATGGTATGTACTCATTCATAAGTGGATACTAACCATAAACAAAGGACATTGAGCCTATAGTTCATAATCCTAGAGAAGCTCAGTAATAAGGTGAATCCAAAGAAAAATGTATATAGACCCACCTGGAAATTGGAAACAGACAAGATCACCTGACAAAATTGGGAGCTTGAGGATCGGGGACAGAAGGAAGATGAGAACGGGAAGGTTGAGGAGAACTTGGGAATGGGATAGTCAAGATGGAGGAAGGACAGAGATGAGAGCAAGGAAAGAGATATCTTGATTGAGGAAGCCATTTTGGGGTTTACAAGAAACCTGGCTCTATAAAAATGCCCAGGAATCCACAAGGATGACCCCAGCTAAGACCCTAAGCAATAGAAGAGAGAGTGCCTGATCTGACTTGCCCTGTAAGTCGACTAATAATTATCTTAAATATCACCATTGGAACCTTCGTCCAACTACAGATGGAAACAGAGGCAGAGACCCACATCGGAGCACTGGACTGAACTTCCAAGGTCCAGTTGACGAGTGGAAGGAGTGAGAATATGAGCAATGAAGTCAAGACCATGAGAGGTTGACCCACTGAGACAGTGTGCCTGAGCTAATGGGAGCTCACCAACTCCAACTGGACTGGGAGTGAACTAGTCCCTCTGAATGTGGTTGACAGTTGTATGGTTGGGGCAGACTGAGTGGCCACTGGCAGTGGCACTGGGATTTGTCTCTACTGCATGTACTGACTTCTTGGGATCCTATTCTCTTTGGATGTATACCTTGCTCAGCCTAGATGTAGTAGGGAGGGCCTTGGACTTTCCACAATGCAGGATGCCTTGTCCTCTCTTAGGATTGGAAGGGGTGGGGTAGAAGGGTGTGTGGAGGGAGTGGGAGGAGGGGAGGGAGTGGGAATTTGGATTGGTATTTTTTAAAGTAATAAAATAAATTAAAAAAAAAAAACAGGATCCACAACTGAGCAAGACTGTTGGTAAATATTTTCTGCCAGAACTCCACAAAGTTCCTTCTGGCCCTACAAATGCCAGTCAGAATGTAGGACAGAAGTTTTCAACTCAGTACCAGATTGATTTAATCCATTCTTTGTAGCCGAAACGAGTGTAATTTACAATATAACCAATGACAGTGGTAATAGCCTAGATGGTTTATGGGACTTTGGAAGCTTCCCTTTCCAACAGCTTGTAGTGAGGTAACCTAATTCCCACTTGGCACTGGGAATTTTAGCCAATAAGTCAACAAGAGCTTCCAGGAGTGTTATTTATTTATTTATTTATTTGTTTATTTATTTATTTAAGATTTTTGTCTCTTCCCTGCCACTGCCTCCCATTTCCCTCCCCCTCCCTCAATCAAGTCCCCCTCCCTCATCAGCCCAAGAGCAATCAGTGTTCCCTGCCCTGTGGGAAGTTCAAGGACCACCCACCTCCATCCAGGTCTAGTAAGGTGAGCATCCAAACTGCCTAGGCTCCCACAAAGCCAGTACGTGCAGTAGGATCAAAAACCCATTGCCATTGTTCTTGAGTTCTCAGTAGTCCTTATTGTCCGCTATGTTCAGCGAGTCCGGGTTTGGTTTCTAGCCATAAATAAAGGACATTGAGCCTATAATTAGTGATCCTAGAGAAGCTAAATAAGGAGAACCCAAAGAAAAACATATAGGCATCCTCCTGAATATTAACCTTCATCAGGCGATGAAAGGAGACAGAGACAGAGACCCACATTGGAGCACCGGATAGAAATCTCAAGGTCCAAATCAGGAGCAGGAGAGAGAGCACGAGCAAGGAACTCAGGACTGTGAGGGGTGCACCCACACACTGAGACAATGGGGATGTTCTACCGGGAACTCACCAAGGCCAGCTGGCCTGGGTCTGAAAAAGCCTGGGATAAACCAGGAGTGCTCTTTATCACTTAAATAGGCATGTTCCCTTCTTAATTAATGTCTTTGCATTTACAAATCTATAAAGCACAAGTTAATAACAGATAAAGAAAACTTTCTAGAGGTTTGGCAAGATGTCTGAGGGGTTGCATCTGTGCACTCAAAAGAAAATGACAGATAATCTCTGAAGAGTAAAGAGATGCTTAAGAAAAAAAAGATGTTAGCAAGCACAAATACAGACCAAAGTGATCTCATTGCTTATACTGACAATTCTGTCAAAAGAGCACTGTTGGCTACGATGGCATGGATAGAAGATGACCCCTCCCCAACCCCTTACAATCAATGG